TCTATGCCTCAAGGGGGCATTGTAAATAAAAAATTTTCAAAATTTTCTTTCATAGACATGTTTGCCACATGTGGGTCACCATGTACAAGAAAATTTGGGTGATTTGGAGGTGGTGGAAAAATTCACCTTTTTTAAAAAACTGGCTTAAGTGACAAAATGGTCCCTCCGGAATGCCGACATTTTTTCGACCACCTCCAAATCACCTCAATTTTGGCACACATGATCTCTTCCACAAACAAAACTAGGTTTCAAGTTTTTGTATTTTTTTGAATTTTTTTGAATTTATAATGCCCTCTAGACTGACTGCTGAAAACATCGGTCTATGCCTCAAGGGGCATTGTAAAATATTTTTTTTCAAAATTTTCTTTCATAGACATGTTTGGCACATGTGGGTCACCATGTACAAGATAATTTGGGACCTGCGTGCAAGAGTCGGGGACCCGCATGCAAGAGTTAGGGACCTGCATACAAGAGTCGGGGATCTGCATGTGAATAGTGATTCATCAAGGCCTTGGCAGCTACTGGCACAGCGGCTGCCACCCGATTTGCATGCAGCGAAGATGAACGTGCATGGAGGTTTCTCAAAGATTTCCAAGCACACCCAAGTGGGCCCCGCTTATTTAAAAAAAAAGTTAGTCATTATTGCTCTGTAAATGAAGAATATGCATGACAACCATAGTAAGGGTGAAGAATCATATTCATCCTACAATGAGGACCAACGCTTGCTAAAATCACCTCGATGAAGGTATTTAAGCAGGTAAAGGAGCTGCTCGAGGGGCGAGGTGGGACTATTTTTAGTTAGACGAGAACAACGTGCGAGATCGTACGCGATGTGGGCCGTCCGGAGCTGCAACCTCGGATGGGCCGGTGTTTGGGTCGACGTAGGAAAACGGCCTGCCATGCATGCATGGCATCGGTAGTCTCGCCTAAACGATGGACACGCACCGAGCCAGCCATGCAGACCGTGGGATCGCGCGGGAGATCCGTCTGGCGGCCGTGTGTGCGTGCAGAAATACATCACAATAATTATTCTAGTCGACAATAACAAGTGCTCCATGCTAGCCCTTATTCCTGTTCGAAATACATCATCATTCTTAAAGTTGGACATCAAATGATACACACAAAAAATGGAAACGAAAGATGTCGAACTTATACAGTAACATGGCAATACAACCGCACTTCACTAAATTACTGTCACGATGAAATAGAATGTAAAGACCACGTCACACAAAGCTGAATGGCACACGACATTCTCTGGCTCATCTTCGGTTCATGCTGTATGTAGATATCACAGTTCAGCCTCAAGATCCTACACACATATTTCGTACCTCTAGCAATTTAGCGCATTTATGTCGATTGTGACCTGGTTTCTTGCAATAGCCACATATATTCTGTGATCATGACTTCTTTGTCTTTTCCTGCAGCCTTTTCTTCGGTGCACCTCGTCCTGGCACATGCACGAGATCCAGAACCTTATCAACTTTCTCCGAGTGCGGCATCAACGGGCCAAACCTAATGCTGTTATGTTGAGCATTAGTTGACTCCTTGCTGCCAGCTTGTTCAAAACTTGATTGCTTGCCATGATGTTGTACTTGCAAAAGCATCTTTAGACGGTGATAGTCCTCATTAGAGTGGCATGCCTTGAAACTTGCAGCGTGACTACAATTCCGCAACTCGCGGTACCTCTGCAGGCTTACCGAATAGTCATACATCTGGTTTTTTCTGGTAGGTGCGTATGCACATTTTGCATTCATAGTCCACCTAGTGGGAACGCAACAACCTGGCAAAATTGTTTGTTTTAAAATCCCCAGTATGTAAAAAATGTGGGAACATGGTATGCCTGCGCATTCCAGCTTACGGCAAGAACAACTCACCCTTTGCAAAAGACCTCCTTGCTCTTCAATGCGCACTCCAAACTTTTTATCCATTCTTTCCTTCTTGGACACAACATAAGTGGAATCTTCTGATCCATCTAGTATCTCTCTGATCTAACATTTGCTGACAGCATCTATGCTCCATAAGACCATCTTAAAGACACTAGGTGTGAAAACTGTTGCGGCGTGTTTCTCAAGCGGCGAAGCATTTTCCTCTGTAAATGGAACAGACTGCAAGGCTTCAACATCATGGAGAGCTTCGTTAATCCATCGCGACGCAAGGCAACGCTCATAGTGCTCTAGCATTTCAAACAACGACATCTTACCCTCAAGATGCGTATGTAGCACAGAATTCAAGCTCTCACTCCTCTAATTGCTACTCAATCCTAGGAAACAACGCCCCTCAAGATATGGAGCACACCACAACTTTCTCATCTGATACATCTGATGCAGCCAAGACTCCTCACTGGTTACTTTATTCCGTTGTAAGAATTGTATCCATTTTATCTCATGCTCTTCAATGGAAGAAGTATCATAAATGAAAGATCTGAATTCCTCCTTTACGTCGTCATCATGCAGATGGCGTACAATGTTCTGCTGAATGTGCCATATACATAGTCTATGGTTTGAGTCTGGCCAGACCACCCTTATTGCTCTCTGCATTGCAAGGTCCCCATCTGTGATCACAGATATCGGATGCTTCTGTGCCATGCAATCAGAAAAGGTCCGCAACATCCACTCGTATGCCTGGCTTGTTTCATGAGAAATTATACCACAGCCAAAAATAACAGTGCTGCGGTGGTGATTCAACCCGACAAACGGCACGAATGGCAGATTGTATTTGTTGGTTTTGTATGTGCTATCGAAAACAATGACGTCTCCGAAAGCCTCATAGTCAAGTCGCGACTGACTATCAGCCCAGAACAGTCCCTTCAGATGGCCATGCTCGTCTACCAAGTACTTGAAGAAAAAATCCACATCTCGCTCTCGCCTCGCCATCATGTGCATGATCACCGTATTAGCATCACCGGCACTAATTGTCTCCTGCTTATTAGCATGGCAGAAATTATAAACGTCCCTCTTTATGCATCCAACCTTATCAAATCCACCGTATTGAAAGCACAAAATATCCATAATACGGTATTTGCATATCCCACATTTTTCCATGTCCGCAATGTCCACTTTCTGCTCATCGCTAATTCGTCTATGCGAACGCAGCAGACAAGAAAGATCCCGTGGGGCTAGAGGATGGTTGTGCTCATCCATGAAATCTTTGACAAACCACCGACCGATTTCCTCCTGTCTCGTAATGACCAATTTAGCATTACACCCAACACGAGTTAAACTTCGTGGCCTCCTCTTTCTATCTTCCATCTTTCTTTTCATGTGCTTCTCTTCGCGAAACCCTTGACGACTACACACAATTTTCCTTAAAATTATGTATTTGTTGGATCCATCCCACTCAACGTAGCTTTTCCTCACACTAAAACCTTTTTCAAGAGCATATATGTTGTAGAATTCATAGCCTTCAGCCTTACTATCAAACATCTTGCTGACAACATTTAGATACTCGAACATACTCTCATCACTTGCATACGCCATGTCTTCCTGCATATGACATGTGAGGGAAACCAATCATCAACATCTTTCTGTTTATCAATGTTGCAGGTGTAAAATAGCTCATAGGCAAAGACAAGTGCATGGAAAGACTTTGCTCGTTTGACATGTGAGGAAAACCAATCATCAACGTCCAACAAGTAGTATCTCATCTTCCTTTAAACTATATTTCATGCACTATGCAAACCTAAAGTGATGATGACTTTAATAAACTAAATTAAGTGAACTATGGAACCAGTATCTCATCTTCCTTTAGTATATCTCATCTCAAACGTCAAGTAAGTCACTTTTTTTTCTGCGGTACCAAAGGAAGTAAGCAATGCCCTCAACATCTTACTTAAACAAACATGATGCGATTAGCTCAAGAGAAACTATGCCACGATGAAGCTTTCCATTCGTTGTTCTAGTCCGTACCCGGATCTTGTGGGGTTGAGGTTGTACTGCATGCACGGTGGAGGGGTGCAACGGCCAAGAGAACGAGCAGAATGCCAAGCCAAATTCATACCTTAAGGATGGTACGCGCGAAGAGATGGGATCGCCCGCCGCGGTCGCTGCCGATTCAGCCGGCGCAGATCCGGCCTTCTTCTTCTTCGGTGACGGCGTGGGGGTTGGGGTTGGTTGGGTGGAGGACGAGGACGATGAATTTATTCCTCTCGCCGGGCAGGTCGAGGACGGAGAAGGTCAGGAGCGGCGAGCGGCGACGAATAGATCGGAGGAGGATTCTGAACTGGATCGAGTAGACATGGATCTGGTCCTCAGGTGATCGGTTCAACAAAAGATATTTCCCCCTGGACCATTATGCCCTTATCGCAATTAACATATTAAATTTAATCAATTAAAATTCCCGCAAGATCTGACGGCTAATAAAAATCAGACGTGATCAGACATGTAAGTACTGCTAAGTACTCCGAGTACTAACCCAGTCACCGTAAAACAGCTCTAATTAAAAATGTTGTGTTTGAATTGTTTAACTTAACAAGCAAGCAATGTGCTGCTGGTAGTAAGCAAGGATTAGCACCCAAACAAAGGAAGAAACAACAAAGGGCACAAAAGACTACTTTCCCCTCCTCTCATCTTTTTTGCCAGCTCCCATTCCATGCATATCATGTGCTTTATCCATCACTCCTCCACTAGTGTTACGTACCCACCAAGGATTCAGCAATGGAAAAGGCAGCAACATACGTGTCATCGCCTTTATTATTTTGTGAAAGCGGCTTTGATCTGTTCCATTTCCTTCACACTACTACTGCGCCACTCCACTGCTATATATACTAACTCCCATTCCCCACTCACGGCCGATCGATCTACCATATTTATTTTCTTCCTATTACTTCTGGCCTCCTGGGGCTCGATCATATCGCTCCTTCCCGGTGGGATGCATGGCGCCCTCCTCAGCCTCCACCGTCCAGGTCACCAGTGAGTCCCTCTTCGATAGTGAGGTCGTCCCCTCCTCGATCGTCGAGGTCGCACCCTACCTCCGCGTCGCCAACGAGGTCGAGGCAAGCAACCCACGCGTCGCCTACCTATGTATGTCACCTCTTGCACTTCCCTTCCTTGGCACATTAATTCATTCATTCGCTGCTTGTTAACTACTGTTACCAATGCAGTATAGCAGATTCCTTCTCCACTCTATTACCGGCCACTCACTAGTGAGCATGTATATTCTTCTTTCTATTGCTCACACCTGTATTATATATTCTTCCTCAAGTACAACTAGTGCCATATTACTGCCAGTGACACTCCATGGCCTGTGTTAATCGTTACTCCTTCCGTAAAGAAATATAAGAGTAGAGTAGTAATTCGAAACAACCGGTAGTAATTCCCTAGCTGCACTTCAGAGTAGAGTAGTGCTTGTTTTGTTTTCTCACCCACACAATTTAATATGTCTCTTGGGTGCTAGGTCGATTCTTTGCCTTCAGGCTGGCCAACAATCTCGACCCCACCGCCAGCGGCTGCGGTGTCCATGAATTCAAGACCGCGCTCCTGCAGAAGCTTGAAATTGTATGTGTGTTCTGTATACATGCATGACTTTCCCGCCCGACACGGCCTTAAGAGATGCATCATATTTTGCGGCGCTGCGTTCTGTTCCCTCCGTAAAGAAATACAAGACCCCATCATATTTTGTTTACAGAGGGAGTACTTATTATAGCTCCAAAATCATAGGCGTATGCAATAGTACGTTTCTAATCCAGCAATGAAACTAATTGCTTCGGTTTCATTGCAACGCACGTGCTTCCTTCCTCAGGAGAATGATTCCACCTTGAAGGGAAGGGTTGAGCAGAGTGATGCACGCGAAATGCGGAGTTTCTACCAGCACTACTACAAGACGTACATCACGGCACTCCAAAATGCCGCCGATACAGCTGACCGGTGAGAGAGCAACCCATCTTCTTCTTTTCTTATGCTATTTACTGAGTGCTATGCTGACTCATTTATGTCTTTTTTTTATTTCATTTGCTCAGTGCTCAGCTCAAAAAGGCGTATCAGACTTCAAATGTGTTGTTTGGGGTCCTAAAGGACGCCGTTCATGTTTCACAGAAGATCCAAGTTGATCACGCGGTAAGCTGCCCTCTAGCTAGTACCCAACATTAACTATAGCCCTTTGTTTCTTTTGTCACACTGCTAGCTCCTGCTTTATATGTTTCCTCACAAACAAAAACACTGTTATTGATTGATGTTTCAGATTCTGGAATCAAACAACCAAGTCGGGGAAAAGAAAAAGGTGTATCTTCCTGACAGTGCTAATCAGACTATTATGAGATATCCCAAGGTTCCCATCCATCCTGATTTCTTCCAGAGTATTTTGGCAAGATGTTGAGATGATTACAGTATGGCTTTTGCCGCTTTTCATTATTACATGTAGATCCAAGCAGCTTTGCATGCCCTTAGTGACACCAGGGGTCTGCCATGGCCCAAGGGCCATGAAAAGAAGGCTGATGCAGATCTTCTTGAATGGCTTCAGGCCATGTTTGGGTTTCAGGTTATCACAACATGGCGACTCTACCATTTGCATTCATATCTCATGCCCACAATTTGGTTGTGAGTGTTGATACATTAATGCTCTCTAACTTCAACTATCACTCTCCAGAAAGATAATGTGTCCAAACAGAGAGAACATCTCGTACTATTGCTTGCCAACATGCATATAAGGCAGATCTCCAAACCTGAACAACAACCAAAGGTACCGCCTTTTCCAACATACTGACATACACATGTGTGATGTGTGTGCACATTGACCCAACCCTTGTAAAATGATATCATATTTACTCATTCCCTTTCTGGAAATATTTTCAGTTAGATGACCATGTGTTGGATACAACAATGAAGAAGCTATTCAAGAACTACAAGAGATGGTGCAAGTACCTTGGTCGCAAAACCAGCTTATGGTATGATGATTAACCTTGAGTGGTCTACTGATTGATCCCTTGCTCAACTAATTAGTTGATCATTATGTTTCTAGGCTGCCGACAATTCCACAAGAAGTACAACAGCGTAAGCTTCTCCATATGGGCCTTTATCTGCTCATATGCGGCGAGGCGGCTAACTTGCGATTTATGCCGGAGTGTCTTTGCTACCTCTTTCATCATGTATGGTCAATTCCTAAACCCTGATCAAGAGAAATCTGATCTAATTTGTGTGCTCACTTTTCTTCTAGTGATGCTATCTTAGTATTTTAGACCATTTTAAATGGGCGAAAGCTTGAGGATAGTACACCATATTTCAGATTCTTTGCTACGTCTACCATTTTAAATGGGCGAGGCGGCTAACTTGCGGTTCATGCCAGTTGCTACCTCTATAATCATGTATGGTCAATTCATTTCTTCATCAAATTAAACACACGGTCTATTTACTAAACTGGAGAATTGGGTTTTAAACTCTTTATTAAAGGAGTTCAAGGTCCTTATTCTGTTTCCTGATTACAATGAAAATGATGCAAAGGCTACTATGCTAGTATTTGGGTATGTCTGGAGAGTTGACAAAATGTATCCTAACTATTTTTTTGGTCATCACCAAAAAAAATTGGTCTTTGTATGGATGGCCGCCAATTGTTTGGCATGCCAACTTAACTCCAGATATAAGTTCTTCCCGAGGAGGTCCCGTAAACACTAACAAAAAAATCTAACGCGGTCCCTATTTTTGCTTGATTCCTTTTCTTCTATTGATGCTCACATGGTAGTTTAGACCATTGCAAATCAGCAAAAGGTTGAGGTTAGTAGTACATTATATTTCTGTGCCGGAAAGTTTTACATACCATTTATGTTTTTGTTGCCCTTTCATACTTGTTCCCATTTAGCAATTGTATAGTTTGTGTTTGTGGACATGCTAGTTACTAAATGCTTGATTGTCAAGGCTGTTGTTGTTGGTTGATTGGCTGCCATAGCTCTTCTGATGAGATGATTATTGGCAAGTGACGGTCGTGCTTTTTTATTCCATTGCAGATGGCTTTTGAATTGTATGGTGTGTTGGCTGGAAACGTGAACCCAATAACTGGTGAATATGTTAGACCATTCTATGGTGGCGAAGAGGGAGCCTTCTTGAAGAAAGTCGTGACTCCAATTTCCAGAATCACAGAAATGGTACATTTCTTTATTTTCATGCTCATGTTTTAATTCAAGCACAATCAACTTATATCCTTTTGGTTTTTGCCATAGGAGAAAGCTGAAAGGAGCGGGACAATAAAATCAAAACACTCGCATCGGAGAAACTATGATGATCTCAATGCGTACTTTTGGTAAATACAGCATATATAATTCGTTATATTCATTACAATTTTGTGGCCCATGCAATTAATTAATTTTACATTGCCTATCAGGTCAAAAGACTGTTTCCAATTAGGATGGCCAATGAGAGCCGATGCAGATTTTTTCAAGAAGAGGCGCAACCTGTGTGAGTTGTGCTCTTCTTCCACACCACAAGTGTGTGTGCGTCTGTGCTTCATCTTGGCCACAGTCAGGTCTTGGGTCCAACAGTCACGGCGGCGGTGCTGGTGGAGTGGACGAGGCTCGCCAGAGTTCATTTGGTCGTCAACAGTTAGTGATGGGCCAGTGAGTGATCTGGAGTACTGCTTGCTTGGCAACAAATGACTATCACCTATTAACTATTGCTGTGTGTAATAGAGCTTGTATAGTCCACGCCCATGCTGTACTTATTGGATGCTTAACCTTTTAATGAATACCCTTTGTGTGAAAATAGTAGAAAAATACCAGCGACGGAGTACAACGTGTTTCCCCCACAAGAAAAAGTTCAATCAAGTTATCACTATCCCTATCCCTTAAAAAAGCTCGAAATGATAGCTCGCTGGCACAAAGGGAAAAAAAAATGCCAATATTTTGCGCACCATCTGCATCTGCAACCCGGCAACTCGAGAGTATGCTCCTCTCAAGCAGCTTCGTGGATTCAGGCCCTTGCAGATGTACCCTCACCAGTCACCCCACTACCGACTGTTGTTGTACCATCTACGTTTTCACAATATATAGGCTCCGGCCAGCCGCCGAGGAAAATAGGTTGCCTGATCCTAGCGCTCTTCAAGATTGCCTCCAACTGCTATTCCAAGATAGCATATACTACTGGTACACAAGCAATGGGATATTGGTATTCTCGACACCACTGATGAGTCGTTCAGCAAGATCCGCATCCCGTTTTCTTATGGCTACGCTCGACTGTTTGAGATGGGTGACATGCTTGCTATCTTGTCTCTTAATGGTGACAGCCTTTGATATCTGGGTGATGCAGGACTACTAAGCCGAGGCCTGGGATTTCAAGTGTCGAGTTGAATTGCCGGTTGTCGAGACCATGCAGCAGTGTCAATGCCCTCTCCATCAACAGAGTGTGATGGTTGTGCCTGGGGACAGTGAGCTCAGTTGTGATGACTGGCTGTTTCAGGTTGATGTTGATGTCAAGTTGATTGCCAGTTTCCATCCGAGAGGCAACAATTCTACTCATTTTCTGCTCAAGCAAACTCTTGTTCAACAAACCTTCTTTCCGACACTAGAGGGCTATGTTGTGAACCCCTCGGAAGATTATGTTGTCAAACCTTCGATGAGCCTTTTATGCCCGGTTATGTATTAACACTTAGCCTTTTATCCCCATTTATGTATATGACGGGCGCAACGTGTATGAATTAGGTCCATTATGAGCCGGCCGGCTCGTTTCTTTTTTATGTAGACAAGTTATGATCACAAGAAGCTTTGATTGTAAGTCCCAGCCATGCTCTTTTTTTCTTTGACCGGCTCAATGTGCTTGAATTTCGTCCACTATGAGCCAACTTGTTTCTTTTTGATGTAGACAAGTTATGATCACAAGAAGCTCTGACTGTTTCATGGTCTCATGAGATTTACTCCCTCCATTCCGAATTACTTGTCGTAGATATGGATGTATCTAGATGTATTTTAGTTCTAGATACATCTGTTTCTGCGACGAGTAATTTGGAACGGAGGAATACATTTGTTAGAATATCCCTCTGGGTTGAAGTGGCTAGCATGTTGATGCTAAAATTATTTGGTAAGCGTTTGAAATATTTGCCTATTGGTCTGCCTCTGGGTTTTTTTTTTATCGAGTCTTGTTTTTTCTTAAAGATCATCCAGTGGTTTTCCTGATAACTAAATATTTTCTGTAATCTGTCTTTGCTGCTGCATTGTTCGGGACTATCTCTGTCACAGTCAGGCTTGTAAAAACTACGAGATGGTTGAATACGGCGGGATCATCGCTGTCTTCGCTCGTTGCGCCCGGAGATGCTGCTTGCTCGGGGATGGCTAGTGTCCATGGTCAGCGCGGGCTGCGGAGGGAGGAGCGTGATCCTGTCCTGATGCATGCTGCGGCGGGAAGAGTGCGTGTCGATCGTCCAGGAGATGTCCAAGTCGTCGGTGGCTCCAAGTGAAGCCGGCCGCATGAAGCAGCGCCTGGTGTCGCGTACGCATACGCTTGATTGGAGCCAACTCCATGATTGCCTGCACGTGCCGGACGGATGATGATGAAGTGCCTGATTGCGTTACCTGTTGTGCATAGCTGTTAATAAGAGGGCCGTATGCATCGTACTGATGCAGAGGCCGGGGTTTCCCCCCTTTTCGAAAAAGAAAAAAAAACCTGTTGTGCATAGCTGGATCGAAGCAGCTCCCCGGAGGCGTGCTAGAACCATCGGCCTCGATCGGGTAGGAAGAGAGAGAGAGAGAGAGAGAGAGAGAGAGAGTCTAGGAGTAGCGTAGGAAGAGAAGGAGAGGAAGAAGGGGACGCGGGAGAGAGGGAAGGAAGAGGAGAGGAAGAAGGCCCGATGGGTGACAGGTAATGAAGGAACGCAATACTTGTGTATAGGTAAATCAATTGGTTTGTTGAATCGCGGCTCTACCAAGTAGATCGAGTAGAATCACCATGGCATTAGCATTTAATGCAGAATTGGGAGCACGCCGTGTTTAGTTTGCGCAATGCAAATTCATTCCATATATAACCATTGAACAATCCACCAAGAACAGAAACTTAAATAGAACACAGTTCGTTTCATTCATGAACAAGTGCACACAACTAACAAAAGGCGATGGTGATGGTGAGTTTAAGCGCCTAATGAGCTTTCCTCATCCACAGGTACTGCTTATTTTGTGCTATACTCACTGCTCCACATAATCGGGACTTTTTTGAACACACCATTTCTTGATGTTTACAATATCACTTGTTGGACATGTACAGAATAGCTTAAGTATATGAATTACTTACTTCAACCTGAACTGTTGAAACATATATACACCCCTCAAGTGAAGCCCTAAACAGTTGGATGAACGGACAACTAAACAGTTGGCTACATGTATAGTTCGTTCCAAGCACATTTAGACTGATTCCCATCCAGTTTAGTTATTGGAGCCGAAATGATTTTGGAGCCTGGCTTTTGTTCAGATTCGTTCAAGTGCTTCATTGGAAAGATGGAAAACAATATTCGAATCCGGTCTTCCATTGGCAAGATGGTTCGGTCCATGCTTCTTGGTGCTCTGTCATTGCAATGCTCTGCCTTTTATTTTGTTGATGACTGAATGAATGAATGAATGAATGATTGTTGCAGTTCCAGTGGCGGCCGAGGTCACCTTCACTGCCTACTCCTGAGAAGGAGAAGGAAATCTCAACCTCCATGGAAGGCTGAGTTGCTGTAAGTGGAAGCAGCTGCAGACCATAAAGGAGAAGAATATGTATGATGACTCCAAAGATGTCAAGGTGGAGTGAAGGTCATTGGGAACACTCTTGTGTTTTTCTTACATGCACTTCACCTTGTACATTCTTCTTATTCGCATTCATAGACATTTGCATGCCTTCATACAACCAATAATCTCATCAGCGCTACACAAAGGCACAACTGAATCCTGAATTTCCAGACTCAATTCCATCAATGAAATGTCTAGGTTTCTAATTCTACATACGGCTTTCTCCATAGAACTGGTGCTTGCTGGTGAATGGCATCTTTCCGGTGCAATACAATGGAATGAAATGAAATGGTGGCCTCTAAAGGAGGGACAACACAACTACGGCGCTAACTGATCACCAGAGACCTAGCCGATCACATATCGAATCTGACATCCCATTTCCCGTCCATGTAACCATTAAGCGTCCAGTTGTTCTCCCTCAGCTGGAAATAAGGCATCTGCAATCACAAACACGTTTTCAGATTTATCAAACTAGAACCAGGTAGAAACAGAATTAATGATCCAACTAATTTTGGTACTACAAGATATGTAGAAGAAATATTCATCAGCTTACACATACACAGTTTATTATCAATTAGTACATTTGCAAAATAGATGGCCAAAAGGGAGTGGGATTAGCCTGATTCTGGTGAATAGTATTTGCACAACTAACAGGGGATGCATTCCAGACATTGCGTTATGTGAACATGCAAAAAGGAGATGCATAGCAATTTCCTAAGATTTGTTCAGCGAATGTGACCGGTGAGGAACAAGTGTGTCAGTGTGCTGCTCTGAACCCTTTTGCTTTACGGAACCAAAGCTGGAACGCACTTTACCATATTTATGAAAACTACAGCCAGGTAGGAAAGATAAATTTAACCTTGCTTGGTAATGTTTTGGTCGGCAGTGAACGAAAGGAAAACGCAATGTTTTGCACTAAATTGATCCAATTAATTGTGGTATAAGGTGTGCAGAAGAAATGCTCATCAGATTATACAGTTAAGAAGTGCATCAGCAATAATATACGGCGAAAAAGGAAGGGGATGGAACCATGTATTTCAACATGAGTCTGTTTCTGGAAAATACTTGTACAAGAACTAACAAGGCGCGAGGGGGAGACACCGGGAGATATTAAAGGCACATCAAGTTATTCTGAACTTTTTTGCTTTACGAAAGAGAAACAGGCCAATGTGCTGATAATGATATTGTACAAGAATCACTGATATGTGGTAAGGTTTCTTGAGCGAATGTGACTGGTGAGGAGCAAGTGTCAAGTGTGTGCTGCTCTGAAGCTTTTCGCTTTACGAGAAAGAAACTGGCATGCACTTTCCCACTGCATTTGCATAGACATACAATATTTAGTGTTGTGCTGATATCTTCTAAGGTTTGTTCAGCTACAGAGTGGTAAGAGTAACAGGTGTGTGGTGATCTGAAATTCAGGCATATAGTACAATATTTAGTGCAGGTACTTTTTTTGCTTTAGGAAGGAGAAACTGGCATCTACTTTTCGCACTGCACAGGCATATACAATATTTAGTGCAGGTAGCAGGGTATGTTGCTGCTGACTGACAGAAATTCAGGCACCAGTGGTGGTGATCTTAATGGGAGCAATCGAAAGAGAAGCAGCAAATGAATCCCAGCAGACCATGTCAGAACAATACGTTTGCAATAGAATTTAGCATGTTATAATTCTGTAGAGACATGCATAATGGACGGCAATGGGACAGGCATTGCACGAAGGGAACGAGTGGGCTTAGCCAACAGTACAAATGTGTGCCCTGTGGCGGCGTACCTTGCGGTATAGCTCGTATCCGGCCTTGATCCTGACGTCCTGGCCCCTTCTGAAGTCGAGTATGGTCCAGGCGAGCTCGATGGCGCCGTTCTTCCTCCTCTGCAGGCAGGCAGGCAGGAAGAGAGCAACAGCAAAAGTTTGAGTCAGGTACAAAATTCCTAATATGGTGATGCTGCAAATGCTGAAATGCGGGCGGTTCAGGAAGAAGCTGAGGGGTACCGGCTTGAAGTTTTTGTCGGCGAGGAGGCGGCCCTTGATGTTGAGGCCGAGGAGGCCGTCGTGGGTGAAGGAGACAGCTTTCTTCCCCCGGAGGGTGTACCTGAAGATGTTGCCCTTCTCCAGCTGGACCCCGGCCCCGACGTTGGCCGACAGCTGGTTGGTTAATGGAGGAGAGCAGAGACGAATCACAGCAAATTAGTCATTGGATTGGTTCCAAGAGAAGGAAAGAAAAGAAATGCAGAGGAGAGTAGGTAGTCGCCTGTGGGAAGAAGTGCCTTGCGAGGATGGCGAGGAGGCTGGGCTTCCGGGTGGCGGTGTCGATCTCCGCGTGAGCCTGATTCATTTCCATTGATTCATTGTTGGTCCGGGGGTCAGGTCACCGGAGGAGAGGAGGATTGATTCATGTTGAGTAAAGAAAGAAGGAAAGAAAGAAAGAAAGAAAGAAAGAACCTGGAGGAGCGCGTTGTATGCGAGGGGCAGCTTCTGCTTGGCGTGGATGCGGAGGCCCAGCTGCTGCCCGGAGGTGCTGTCGGCGCCGCGCAGCCGCAGGGAGGTCTCCATCGCTCCCTCCGGCGGCTCCTGTGACTGTGACCTGCCCTGCGGAGTGAGAGAGAGAGATGGATGGATAGGGTTGGTTGCTGCGGAGAAGACGACGACTTTCCTTCCTTCCTTCCTTCCTTGCTTGGGTTGGGCCCAAATCTCTTCTCTATCGGTCCACTGTTGTGCTTGACAGCCCATTCTAATTCCTCCTACCTACCTACCGCTAAAACAACAAATAAGGACAAAACAGCCCAGCAAATTTCCACCCATTTTTCTCACTAGGGATTTTGCATTTTTTTAAATAAAATTTGAATGTTTTTAATATATTGTTTTGAAAACGTGATTTTTTTATAAAAAAACTAAAACTTTACTATTTATTTTTATTTTTTTTCTAAAAATGCGTTCAAAAACAAGATTTTTATAAATTGTAATTACCTATTAGAATTTATAAACGCTTGCAACTTTCAACTTTTTAAAAAATATATAAATTTGATTGGGCGGTAATATGCCACAACGAGTGACAAATATGGAATCACCACTTTACCCCTCTAAAATTATCATCGGTTCAACATACAACCCAAAATTTTGATTTGGTTCAAAATACAACTCTGAAATCTAAAAACAGTCCACGATACATGATTTAAACTGGTTTTAACTCCACTTTTACGCTAAAGCCCGTGCCCAGGCTACCCATAGACCTCGTCTTCCTCTTGCCATCCCAATAATGGCCCCCTCTTTCTACCAGCCTACCATCAACGACAGACGCTTCATCATTGAAGCTACTGCTCCGGTCATACGCTCACCGGCAGCTGCTGCTGTTTCTATGTGCTTATGTTTAGACGTCATAAACAAGAGACGTGGCAGCAACGATTAGTGAGAAAACACATACGTATGCATCCTTATATATATATAATGTGTGTGTGTGTGTGTGTGTGGGACATGTGATAGATAGGAATCGACGATGATGATGCTGAGTAGATGGAGCACCGAAAGTAAAGCACAAAAGCGAAGGGCCCAACACAAGACACGACATTCTCTTGTTTTGGGGTGTGGTCTCATGCAGCCGCTTTACGCCACCACTACATGTAGTATACTAGTATCAACCATCGCTGGTAGTTTAGTGTACTATCATGATTGTATTATTCTAGTATAATGTACTGTGGAGAATCGAGGTTTATAAAGGCAAAAGGCGTCCCCACAACATTCCATTCCATTCCATTATGCTGGCTGCTACAGTGCGACATGGTAAACTTTACCGACTCCTCTCTGGTGTTTTAGCATAATTTAGACAGATTTAATTTTAGCCCCCTTTCTTCTCCACTCCGCCAACACAAGAGTCTACAGAGGGAGTATATACTATACGAAGAAAAAGCAGCGAAAAGAATATCAGCTCTGCTATGCTTTGCTTTCCCCAAACCCCACTGCCTCCCTCCCTGCTTTTGCTCTTCTCTTCACTGCCGCTACACCTCGATATCAATCCCTTCCCCCAAACCCAAATCCAAATCCAAATCCATGGATCGGTCGATCTAGGGTTTGCCTCCTCCCCCTCCGGCCGAAATCAAGCCAAGCCAAGGCAAGGCAAGGCAAGCCAGGGTGAAAAAGCAAGAAACCTTGTTGAGCGAGAAAGTTCCGTCCTTTCCTTCTTCCCTCCCGGCCGTCGGCCGCGGGCGGGATGGCCTCCTCCTCCGGGAGGCGGCCGGGCGCGGGCCCCGGCCCAGGCGGCGGCGGCGGCGGGGAGCCCTCCTCGTCGGGCGCGGCTTCCACCCCGGCGTCCGGAGGCGGCAGGAGGATCCTGCGGACGCAGACGGCGGGGAACCTGGGCGAGTCCATCTTCGACAGCGAGGTGGTGCCCTCCTCGCTGGTGGAGATCGCCCCCATCCTCCGTGTCGCCAACGAGGTGGAGGCCAGCAACCCCAGAGTCGCATACCTATGTAAGCAACCACATTCATCCATCCTTCCTCTGCTCTGCTCTGCTCTCCTCTCTTTATTAATTACTGTTACTGTTACAAGCAAGCAAGCAAGCAAGGAAGGAAGGCACCAAAGCAGAGGAGTTGTTAATTATTATTACTGCTAGCTTGTTACTCTACCAAGAAAGGCTCTCTCTTTGTTAATTACTACTGGGGATGGGTGCTACTCCCTGCTCCTGTATTCTATTGTTACTACAAAGTCTGCCTTGCCTGTGTATTATATATACTTTATTCTTCTTGCTCAACTCCTAGTACGTACTTACAAGACTAGTCCTAGTGACAGTCCACTCTCTTAGTTAATTTATTATTCCCTCTGACTCTGAGTGCCCATAATTCCCAATCTCTCTAGCAGAGCAGAGCAGAGCAGAGCAGAGAGCACCACCTGCTCCCTTGTCTCACCCATACCAACAATTTAATAGCAGTATGTATGTCTCTTGGTCTTGGCTTGGGTGCTACATAGGTCCCTTCTGCTACTAGTCCACTTTGTAACTTGTTTGTATTCTATTACTACTACTTTGTATCTGTGTAGCACTGTATTGTATTCTTCCTCCTCAAGTGCTACTCCCTCCGTTCCGAATTACTTGTCTTGGATTTGTCTAGATACGGATGTATCTAGACTCATTTTAGTGCTAGATACCTCCGTATCTAGACAAATCTAAGACAAGTAATTCGGAACGGAGGGAGTACAAGACTAGTCCTAGTACTAGTGTCTTGCTGCCATTGACAGCCTATCAAGTTTATTAACTCCAACTCAAGTCAAGTGCACATAATTCTCTAGATGCTGTATAGGTTACCAACAGTTTTCTTGCCTCACCCACACAATTGACTCTGTCTATTGCCTGCTAGGTCGATTCTACGCCTTCGAGAAGGCCCATCGACTCGACCCCACCTCCAGCGGCCGTGGTGTCCGCCAGTTCAAGACCGCGCTCCTCCAGAGGCTCGAAAGGGTACGTACATGTGCCTGCCTACATACGCATTTCCCTCCTCCTTGCACAAGATTTAAACTTGCAGCATATTTGATTGCATTCCGTTTCTGCTCTTTCCTGCGCTGTCTTCTATTTATAGCTTCCAAATCTTACCATATTAACTGCATACAGAGGCTAGTGGTCATTTGTTTTACCCCAGCAGTAACTTAATTGCATGACATCCAACGTATACATACCGTATTAACTGCTTCACTTCCTTGTCATGCACACGCTTCTTTCCTCAGGAAAACGACCCCACGTTGAAGGGGAGGGTTAAGCAGAGCGATGCCCGCGAAATGCAGAGTTTCTACCAGCACTACTACAAAAAGTACATCCAGGCGCTCCAGAATGCCGCCGATAAAGCTGACCGGTCAGACCAACCAACCCATCCTCTTTTCTAATCTAATATAATGCTGCTGGCTCACTCATCTATGGCTTGCCTGATGCCTGCTCTGCTTTTCTGATTTCTCAGTGCCCAGCTGACAAAGGCGTATCAGACCGCGGCTGTCCTGTTCGAGGTCCTGAAGGCCGTCAATGTCTCACAGAAAATCGAAGTCGATCAAGCGGTAAGTTCTAGCACAAAACATTGGAACCTTCTCTGTTCTTTTGTTTGACACAATGCACCTTTCATGTTTCCTCACAAAAAAGAAAGAACCCACCGCTACTGTTGTTGTCCAGAAAAACAAAAATGGGTTTCACCTCCCTGCTGTGGTTGTTGATTGTTGCAGATTTTGGAGACGCACAACCAAGTCGAGGAGAAGAAGAAGCTGTATCTTCCTTACAATATCCTCCCGCTCGACCCTGACAGTGCTGCTAACCAGGCTATTATGCGATACCCTGAGGTTCCCATCCATCCTGATTCCCATCCCGAATTCACTGCGAGCTTATCATACTCTGGCGAGATGTCGAGATGATTACACTAGGGCTTATGCGCTGCTTCCCATTCTTACATGTAGATCCAAGCCTCTTTTCACGCTCTTCGTAACACAAGGGGTCTGCCATGGCCCAAGGACCACGAAAAGAAGGATGATGCGGACCTTCTTGAGTGGCTTCAGGCACTGTTTGGGTTTCAGGTTATGACAACATGGCTACTGCCTACCTTTTGTTTTCATATCTTATTTCTTGCGAGACTTTTGCTTTCATGTCAAACATTTTTGTACCGATGATTTCATTTGTGAGATCTGATACATCAATGCTCTCTAACTCCAACAACCACTCTGCAGAAAGATAACGTGTCCAATCAACGAGAGCATCTCATACTCTTGCTTGCCAACGTGCATATAAGGGAGATGTCCAAGCCTGACCAGCAATCAAAGGTAGTGCATTTCCCGACCTGCATTCATGTGAGATGTGCGCACATGGATCCTCGAGTAGTAATGTCATTTACTTGTTTCTTTTCTGGTGAAAATTTTCAGTTAGACGACCATGCGCTAGATATAGTAATGAAGAAGCTCTTCAAGAACTACAAAAGATGGTGCAAATACCTTGGCCGCAAAAGCAGCTTGTGGTATGATGTTCAATCTCCAGTGGAAAATTTGGAAGTTAACCATGATTATTTGATTTAATTAATTCAAGCCTGCAATCATAAGCTCTTCATAGTCGCGTGGTCCACTAATTATAATTGATCATTATCTTTCTAGGCTGCCGACAATTCAACAAGAAGTACAACAGCGGAAGCTTCTCTATATGGGCCTTTATCTGCTCATATGGGGCGAGGCAGCTAACTTGCGATTTATGCCAGAGTGTCTTTGCTACATCTATCATCATGTATGTTCAATTCCTTTTCTTGTCAAATTAAACACATGATCTATTTACTGAGCTGGCAAACTGGGTCTTAAACTCTTAGTTCAAGGTCATAATGTGATTTTCTGGTTAACACGGAAACGATGCAAATGATACTATGCTATTTGGGTATGTCTGGATAGTTGCCAAAAATGTACGCTACCAGTTTTTATGTAGGTGACCGAAAGTTTCGGTCTTTGTTTGGATGGTCACCAATTGTTTGGTATGACAATGACCTTTCGTACACTAGCACATTTTTCTTGCCAACATTAGCCAACTCATGGGCAGGCAAAACCATGACCAATATTTTGGTAGGGCAAGCTTGGGCTGAAACTAAACACCCTATCTTTTCTGACTTGAACCTTCACAAATCTGGTGGCATCTTCTGAGGAGCCACATTCTGTTCACTTACATTTTCCAGAAAGTATATGTTGGGCGTGAGTTACCTTAGGCATGAGGACTTACCTGCAAAACTTTGAGTTAAAAAGAACAGTCTCTCTCGAATCAGGACGGAGCTTACCTACAAAGTATGTTAGTACGCCATTGGGTAAAGAGTTTCTCTTGAATCAGTCTCTCTCTCTACGTGCATGGCTCCACTGTTTTTTCCAGTAGCCAGGACTGTTGAGGTGAAAAGTCTTCGATAATTTGGCTGCATAATGCATGTTCTAAGCACTGCAGTATCATACAATGTTGTTTACACGATAATTTAAGCAAAATGTAAGTTCCTACTGAGGTGATCCAGTAAACACCGATCAAGGAAGTTCTAAAATGATCCCTATTTTTGTCTTGCCCCTTTTCTCACCCTCCTAGTATTTTGGACCATTGTAAATGGGCGGAAAGTTTAGGTTAGTACATTATATTTCTGTGCAGTACAAGTTGTGTTCATGGACATGCCGGGGGAAATGTGATTGATTGGCTTGGGGCATCGCTGTATTTTTAGGCCATAGCTCTTGCGATGGGATGATTATTGGCAAGTGATTGTTGTGTTCTGTTGTTGTTCCGCTGCAGATGGCTTTTGAATTGTATGGCATGTTGGCTGGAAATGTGAGCCCAACAACTGGTGAAAATGTTAAACCAGCCTATGGTGGTGCCGAAGAAGCCTTCCTGAAGAAAGTTGTGACCCCAATTTATAAAATCATAGAGATGGTATATTTCTTTATTTCCATTCTCATGTTTTAATTCCAAGCACAATTAAGTTATGTCCTTTGGGTTTTTTTACACAGGAAGCTGATAGGAGCAAGACAATGAAATCAAAACACTCACATTGGAGAAATTATGATGATCTCAATGAGTACTTTTGGTAAGCTGATAGGAGCACAATTTGTTATCTCCCTTGTAATTTCCCGAGCCAGTTTTGGAGGACACCCATACAATTATTTTTACATTGCTTACAGGTCAAGAGATTGTTTTCGGTTAGGATGGCCTATGAGGGCTGATGCTGATTTTTTCAAGACTCCAAATTTTGTTCTCAATGCTCGAGATCAGACGAATGGAGTAAGTTCATTTCAATATGAATGTACTTGCATTACCCTCATGCAAATGAGTAGATTTGGCTTAGTACTAGCATCTCAGTGTAAGAAAGTTGGTAGCAATCAGGTACCTTATTTAATCTTCAAATAAACCATTCACTAGTAACAAAATAAATGTATTCAACTGTCTGATAGGAAAAAAAATAAGCTAAATTTTTTGCAGTTTAATATTCATAGTCTCTTTCGGTATTGATATTTCTTATTCTGCTGCAGGAGCACAGACCAGCTGGTAATGACCATTGGATGGGAAAAGTCAACTTTGTTGAAATACGGTCATTTTGGCACATCTTCCGTAGCTTTAACAGGATGTGGAGCTTCTTAATTTTATCCTTGCAGGTTAATTGTGATTTCCCACCTTCGTGTTGCTCTTCTTCTTTCGACTACACTTTTGGATGTTTTCTGTTTACTTGAGATGAACCTTTTTCTGTTGGTTTTCTTGTTCACTCAGGCCATGGTTATAGTTGCTTGGAATGGTGGCACGCCAGGTGACATCTTTGATGCAGGAGTGTTCAAACAAGTTTTGAGCATATTTATAACTGCTGCAGTAATGAAAATGGGCCAAGGTATGTTGATAATACCCCATCTCCCCTCCTTCCTATCCTAATATTATGGTATGCACATTCGTCTTTTCTTGGTTACGTGTCTTTGTTGTGTCCACATCCCATTAATTATCAGCATGGTTACACATGATATTGATTTTGATAGTCTGAATGGTTATCTTCTCCATTTACCCGAAACCTACATGACCACAATTAGCTTATAAATTCTGAACAACAGTAGCTTTTGCGGGTCTACAAACAGTAATATTGTAGCCAAAGTATTAAGTGTATGGTCTGTATTCCGTACCAAAGCTCGATGAAAGTACTTCTGTTCAACTTGATTTTACTCGACGTTTAGTTTTCCTGAACATAATATTCTTAGCATGAAACCAGAGGAACATGGTGGTTGTTGGTTTGGTACAAACTGGAACACCTAACATTGCTACCATTGGTTAGGTTCATAAATATATTTTAATGCAGCAATTATGGACATTGTCTTGAGCTGTACCAAAGCTCGATGAAAATACCTGTGTAATTTGATTGACTCATTCATTTTATTTTTCTGAACATATTATTCTAAGCATGAAACCGTGTAAGCATGTTGGTTGTTCTTTTTGTACACACTAGGCAATGTTTATCATTGGTTAGGTTTACTAAATATATTTTAATGCAGCAATTCTGGACATTGTCTTGAGCTGGAAAGCAAGAAAAAGCATGTCTCTTGCTGTTAAACTCCGGTACATCTTGAAATTACTATCAGGAGCTGCATGGGTTGTAATTTTACCAGTGACTTACGCATACACCTCAGACAATCCCACTGGACTCAATAGAACAATCAAAAGCTGGTTTGGTGACGGCCGGAACCAGCCATCGTTATACATCTTGGCTGTTGTGATATATTTGTCACCAAATATGCTGGCGGCTACGTTATTCATTTTTCCTATCCTGAGGAGATTCCTTGAGAAGTCAAATCTTAAAGTTGTAGCCCTCATAATGTGGTGGTCACAGGTAATTTTGCTTTGGTAGTTTTCTTCAAGTTGTTGATTCTTGACACCCTGTTTATAATAAGATGTAAAACATTGTACAGCCTCGCTTATTCGTTGGCAGAGGAATGCATGAAGGTGCATTCTCCCTTTTCAAGTATGTTTGCCTGTTTAAGCGTTTGTTATTCTTTATGAATTACCATTGCATGTGCTCTTTCTGAGGATTGTTGTTCTTCTAGGTATACAATGTTCTGGGTCATTCTTTTGGCCACAAAATTGGTAGTGAGCTTCTACGTGGAGGTATTATTCTTAACTGATTCCACCACCATATGTTGTATAATTTTGCATCAAACTATTGCTAGCCATTTCAACGGAAGTTTTGTCCCATTAATGTCTTGAGGGCTATTTATAGAAACCTACGACGTTCCCCACTACTCATAAGTACACTTTTGCTGGTTAAGGGTTATCCAGTTAATTTTCCTAGCTGTTTCCTTTGGTTATTATGAAATCCTAGTTTGGTTGCTCATCTTGTCATATGCCCGGCCTGCAGATCAGGCCACTTGTTCAACCAACAAAAGATATAATGAAGGTGCCAATAACAACATTTCAGTGGCACGAGTTCTTCCCAC